GAATACAATACTTTTGATTTTAGGTCTGTAATTGAGAGATTTTAGAATGCCACTTTGGAGGATTAGACTATGAGCGTATCATGCCATGATTTCATAAGGACCTGGAATTTAGGTTGGTCAAAGCTGGGGCTAGTGCTTTGTGCCTTTAGAAATGAATGTTGTTATTTATCGGTTTGTATGGAATGTTACGAAATGTCAGTAGTGAAATGGTAATAACATGGAACCATTTTACTATACATTAAAGGGCAAATATATACATCATTATGTTTTTTGTATTATAATAAGTAAAAGTGAGTAATGAGTAAAAGTATAAATATCTGACTCTCGTTCCGGATACCACCAGAGCAAGCTAAAACACAGCTTTAATAGGATTGTGAAAACCCTGTGAATCTTTGAGGTAGTATTAAGTTGTGTGCATCGTTTATAACAATTCAGCTTTGGCCTATAAAAATAGGGCTCAAATTATAATAGGTGATCCCTACATTGTCTAAGAAGCCACCAGATCAACGGTCTGTAAATACTAATAGTGCTATAAGTCCATATTTTGTAGGAGACATATAGTTGGAGTAGTGGTGGTAAGAACTTTTTAACAGTCAAACAGTCTTCCCCAAATTCAATTTTTCTTTTTTCACTTTTGTTCCCCTGATTTTTGCGACTAGGGTATAGGAAAATTTTGCTTATTTTAAAAAATTTATTTTCAAAATTAAAAAGAATTAACCCTTTAAACACAATTTTGTTTGCTAAGGGGGCACTAAAATTTTAAAATTTTTTGAAAGGTTAAATCGGTGGAAAGTAACAATGTACAGGGTTGATGTGTTTGGCGTGAAAAAAACTACAAGTTTTTTTATTTATATATATAACGTGTAGCTTTGGTAGAAAAGAACCTAGCTTATAACTTACTTCCAACTTGAAAAAAAGTGCACTTTAATGCTATTTAATGGCCACCATGATCAAATCGTCATTTGCCTTCCTTGAAGTTATTTTTTATTAATTATTAAAGTTGTAATCGAAATCGAAATAATTATATTATTCACATGTATCATATCAATGACTTTGCTCTTGAATTTAGTTCATGAGTTTTTATTGTAAAGATAATGTCGATATGAAAGGACCTAACACAATTATTACGCCAATTTTATATGTAAATAGAATGTGCAGAATCGTATGTTTGTCTCTTAAGTACTTCCGCTTCAAAGCTATTTAAGTACATATATAACGTAAATTCTAGTACTGTAACAGTAGTTACTTTGCAAAAATGGACCAAGATTGCCTCTTTATTATAGTTCAATTATTACAAGGTTTAGTAAAAATGGCCTTTTATAGATATACCGTAAAAGTAATTATATAAACGTGTCACTATTGATTATTACGAATATTAAGTTTCTTCTTTGCCTTGTATCAAATTTAAAAATCATAACCGCTTGACTTCATTTTGACAGTGAATACATTGCATAGATAGACGAAGTTATTTTAATGTTTAATTTATCCATTCAACACCGGTCAGCTTGACAAGATATTTTATTTTACCCTTTGTATTTGATCACTATTATCCGATCGTTAAGCTTTTTTTGTTTCTCTTTATTGTTATCAAACGTTTCGTTGTAACTCTATATAATTACATTACTTTTTTGCTTTTTATATGCGTCCGTACGTCGTCATACATTTTTAAAACGACCTAATTTCTGGAACCACCTTGTCAAATTTGAAGTATATCGGGGGTCATGCGTTTTTGCTTAGATGTATATAGTAAACAAACTAAAATCATTGTTCTTCTTCACAACAATTAAGGCTAAAACTAAGATATTTAGCATGAATAATTGTCTATTAGACCTTAAACAAGTTTTCACAAAGTATAACATGGGGTCTAAATTAGACCAATCTCGGGGTGCTCATAGATTAACTAAATTAAAACAATTCCCCTTTATATTTATAAATGAAACATGTTTACGCATGATTTAATTATAGCCTGGTTCCATGCTATCAAATCTCGGTAAACTACAGTTGCACAGTCATTATATGTATATGGATATAAGAAAACATTCTCTTTCCATTTGAAGAAAATGTTAATAAATTTTTTTTCTGCAAAGCAAGAAATCTTAAATTAGTCCTGAAGTGTAAAGCTAATGATTTTTTTATATACATGCACTTTTGTTTTCATTGAAGACTCGCAAAGTTAATTGTGTCGTTCTGCAGCAAATCATGTGTCTTATTCAAAGTGTTAAAAGACTTGCCTGGCTGCTTAGCAGCCGAATAAAGGGACACAACCCATGAGGGAATAAAATAAATTCGAAAGAGTTTTGTGAAACGGTTTATATCTATACAGTATGGTTATAATGCAAGTATCATTGCGTCTCGCGAACATTTCTCTCTCGTGTTGATATTTAGATAATACATCAGCGATAATATTCAATTTCATCAAATTTAGAGGTTTAATAAAATCAAGAATAATGTCAAAAGTGCTTTCAGTATACATTTTCTACATGCTTACTTTTCTGCTAAATTGTGAGGAAATGTATATATGGCTGTATTTGTCTCTATACCAACTAGTACTTTTCAAAAAATGATAATTACCTAAGTAACGCTCAAACCAAAGCCATAGGTAAATAACCTACGTGTTAACGCGAATATATTCCTCGAGAACCTGCTTTAACCTTGCTGTGATGAAAAATGTTATACTATATTAAACCTTTCTTGAATATGTTAGTACTTTTGTCACAAAATGATCAATAGAATTCCTCCTGTACGGCCCAGAAGGTCACACGGTACACATGCAGACAACCTGATCTCAAAGCTTGTGGCTTAACATGCATTTCCCATTTGTGAGGAAAACACAATTTTATAATCGGGTTTCTTTTATGCACCACAATACTATTCAAAAATGATAATTTGTCTATTTAATATTAATTACCAGGCTTAATGTTTACGGATTAAAATAAATAAATTAAGATATAGCAAAGTGTTCTAAAATCGCTTAATTTTAATAGTTTTATTTTTTACACATAAAAACATATTGATATGAATATTTGATAATCCTTTCATGTTATGAGGGCTCAATGTGTCTGAATTGTAAACAAAAAACAACAACATCCAAACAGGACAGACAGACATTTTATTTCAATCAAAAAGGCTTATAAGCCCATGATGACATAATACATCATATTTACAAGATAACGAACAGTGCATATGTTAAAATAAAAACATTATCACAGTATAATTATGACTTTACAGGAGAAGGTCATAATAACAACTTATTCGTTAGAACGTAGAACAATACAAATATTAATTTATGTTTGTCTTACACTCACGTACTTCTTATCTGTTACAATGATTGCATGAATTAAATGTTCTGTTCTAGAAATGTTTAGCTACCCAAAATTAATATAATTTACCATGATGTTAATCTATGAAGTAGTGTCACAACAAACATAATTAATATTCACTACATTACATAAATCATTAAACTAAATTAGTTTATCTACATATCTTACCTCACTATTGAGCCAAGATACATAGATTATATTATATATAGATTCCTATTATGCTAATAATCCCATATTTAATCAGTCTTACCGAAACGAAACTGTAAGACCGATAGTATGACATGCAAATATACATAATTATATAACATATGTTAGACATGTGTTTGAGATATATACTTATGCGAATATCAATACATTTCTTATTAAGATGCTTATTACAATACAATATATATTACATATCTATTTTACTTATGACTATACATCTAAAATATCAATATCTATTTAATAATTTATTTGAAAACTTTTAATTGGTATATAGAACCGAATTTCGAATATTAAAGGCATTATAGATATATATTCCAAGGTTTCGAAGAGTGTTCTTATTTTCTGAATTTACAAGTTCAACCAATTTTCGCATACTAGGTCTTATCCAAAAGCGTCTATCAATATACTTTTTTCTTATATCAATAAATAACAAACAGGCATTGACAGTCCATTGACAGTCCATTGACAGCCCATTGACAAAAGTGACGCATTTCAGAGGAATAAAAAAGTAAGTCTATTTACAAAAAAATAACATAGAATTTTGCTAGCAATAGTGTTAAATAATATTTTTGTCGTTTCATTGTAATCGTTTTGAGCAATGACATTGAAATGTTATTTAATAAGTGGTTATAACCTGACTTGTAGCATTGGTTTTCACTTAATTGTCGATATTTATTTGTGAATAAGAGAAACGTTATAGAACCCAATCATACTTTGACCGTATCAACTTGGATATAATGGAAAAAAAGTATTCAATAGAGAATAATGGATCCGTAAAGTAAGCAAAAAAAAATAATTAAAAAACACAACAAAATTAATAGATTTGCCGCTCAGTTTGATTTTGGCCTGTTCATGAACTGGTAAGTGCATGCTTCTATTTGTGCCCACTTGCACCGGCTTAGGCAGAACTCAATATTTTAGTATTAACTGTATAATTATTTTTAGATGTGGCGGTTACAATGGAACCTGCAATCTGATCGTTCAATTAATTTCATTTCAACTAAATATGATTTGCCATAACAGCACTTGGCAAAAAGAAAAAAAATGGAATTTTGAAATGGGATTAAAATAGATTATTATGCCTCCATATTACAGGTAAGCCTTCAAAGGACAACTTTCAAACAGGCAGCATATCCTACGAATTATCTACAGTATCCATGGAGGAATACCTGCACCACCAAAATACAAAACGAACAAACAAAACACACTAAAACAACGATAATGTTGTGCTGAACGATCTTCGAGATATAATTTATAATTTAAAATTACGTCCAGAAAAAGGCCTCCACGCGACACAAACAAGGTGTGACAATTGAATAGAGAAAAAATCACAAAATATGTTTGAAAAGAAAACCAAACAAAACAACATGCCATTCAAGACATCGATGATGTCTGCTAAGAAGGTGAAAATACAGAATACATCAGAAAACTGATATAGAAAATTAAATGTTAGATGCATTAGAATGTATAACTTACGGTAAAGTGTCTTCTTTAATCCATTTATGGTGTTTTTAATCAAATGGTATTGAAATTGTGCAAAAGGTTCATCTTTACTGTGTTTTCATGTCCCCTGTTTAATGGAATCACAGTAGCACATTTGATCACAAAAAATATACAGAAAACAATATTGTCCAAAACAATTAGTACAATGTATTGCCTCGCTTGCTTTAATTTAAACACTTGGAATCAAAAGTTTCAACGTTATTATAATCACGTTTCGGTTGAAGAAGCCGCTTACCTATTAGCCAATGAAAATTCAACTACTAATACCTTAAAACAAAACAATAGCAAATGGTATATCTATAGATATTACGCACGAATGAATTACAGGTAAAATTATTTAAAGACGAATATTATGTTTCTGTTTGGCCTTTTAAAATCATTCAAATGGTGATTTCACAAGGTTAATTATTAAATCTATCGATTTTGTTAAAACAAACTGGTATGTGATCAGAGTTTCTTAAGAAAAGAAACGTGATTTAACATGTCAAGCATGCTGTCCGAAATATTTGTCATTGAACATAATTCAATACTTCCTTTGATCAAATTATCTATCATGTTATTGTTTCATTTTCTTTAAATTGCCTTATTATGTTCGTATATTGAAAATACACGAGACTGAAAATAGAGCCTTGTTTTGCATACATAATTGTTTGTATTAATAGTTTTGTAATATTTTAAACAGTGAGTGAATACAATATATATTTCAAACAATAACAGACACATTTGCATTTCGATTTATTTATTTATCGATTTCTGCCAAATGATTTGATTGTATGAAAAAGTTACGATCTTATTTCATGTATTTTAACTATATTAGATTTAAAATATAAATAAATAATAATAATAATAATAATAATAAATAAATAATAATAATTTCAATAATAAACATGGATAAATAAATTAAAAGTAGCGTAAACTGTTTCAAATTAGTATTATATACTTTTCATATCCACCCTCAACTCATCATTTTCAATGAATATGCATTTACAAATCGGGCATCTAATTCAATTCATTAATACACAGTGTAAAGAAAATGCTATTTCAGTAAATGAAAGTCCCGTGAAATCAACAAATTGTAAATGAATCGTCTGCTATAATATGTGCTTATATACATATGTTTATTGGTTGTAAATCGACGTTAAAAGTTACAGTAAAGAGCTTTTTGATCAAAAGTTCTATTTAGGATAAAAAAATGTCTGAGATATGTCAATAGAATGTTTAAATACGGAAAATTATAAACGAAAATGCAAACATTAAAAATGCTCCAGATTCGGTTCATTTAGAATAGATTAGCTACTGACTACGCAGTTAGCATCAGATTGAGCAGAATTAAACATAAAAGATAGAAATGGTAAAATGTTAAATTTAAAGCATCCGATGAAGTTCACATACGGCTGTAATATTAGAGTCTTCAGTATGAAAACAGTGGTAACTACCAAAAAGAAATTTTGAAAGGGTATCATAAGTTATAAGCCTTCAAAACGTCTGTAACTGTGAGAAAGGAGGTGCATATTAATTTGCTATAAGTCAGTGTCCTCGCATTGAACGAATCGTAAACCAAAATGAAAGTTGTATCCAGTCCTTTCAAGAAAGAGATACATAACGCCGTCATCAATGTTCATGTTGTCTAATCTCAATATGAGTTTCTAGTTTTGCAACTCACGCACATGACACGGATCGTACAAATATTTGTACAACTTTTAATTGTGCATACACTTTCCAATTTCAAACACTTACATATTATCTCTTCTTTCTACAAATAATATTAAGAGGATATCTTTCGTGTCAGTGAAATATAGAATATATTTTTACGAAACATGATAAAATGCCACATATTTTCACGAGCCGGGACGGCGAGTCAAATATGTGACATTTTATCGTAATGAGTGAAAGATATAGAGGATATTTGTTTGTTTTGCATGTAAGATTGAAATATAATTTCACTGAGTGAACACCAGATGCAATAATTTCACGAGTGGCGTAGCCACGAGTGAAAATATAATAGCTGGTGTTCACGAATGAAATATATTTCAATCTTACATGTAAAACAAATATAAATTTTCTTTTTATTGCATGCGTTTTAAGTAATTTTAAGTATTTTTTTACCGATTTTGCCGCGTAACGTCGCGCATTCTTCTTTGTGACGTCATCACATCACATCAACAATTTTGAAATATAGTTCTGTTAAATTTCTCTAATTTTGTTACATTTTTAACATAATGTATGGTGACATCGACTTTCTTCCCTAAAGAAGCATAATTTACGTATGACGGCATTTATTTCTGCCTGTTATTCCATTCAGTTATGATTTTCTTTTCATCCGCATTCAGATATAGTCCGGCTACAGTGAAAATTATATTTTATAAATTTCACTAGTGGTTTATCAGAATATAATCATCTGATATATTACAATAAAACACTGGAAAGCATGAAATAAATACCATATTTCACGAAAAACGAAAAAATAACCTTTTTATCTAATTTCATTATCAAAGAAGAAATGGTTACGAACTCCCTTGTTTGCTACGCAACTGCAATTGTACAGTATTGTATAATCATTGTCTTGTTTTACACGCGATATTTAGCGCTACATTGTGACGTCACATAAACAACTCTTTAAACGTCTGTAAAGCGTTAATGACTGAATTAAAGATATTTGTGTTCGGATTTATTTTCTTAGTTAGACCATTTTCTATCATTTTAGATAGTTTTCAAAACAAAATTCAACAAAAGTAGTTTTGTATTTATCAGATTTTTCAAACAAAATGGCGAAAGAAGTCCCTTTAAATAAATATAAGTTTTGACTCCGCCCACTCCCATCTTTATATTTCATATTTATTTAAAAAAAAAAGAAATATATTTGACTGATATAGCACCATATTTAATGAGTAAAATTAAATAAAAACTTGTAGTCAGTAGACAGTAGAATAAATATCAAGATTTATAAAATTGAAACTATCATTTTAAAGAACCATTCGTAAATTCATTTTTGTAAATTTGTGTTTAGATAGTCAATCTAACAGTCAAGATATTTGATTATTATTATTTTAGAAGGAAAAAGACTATTAGATGTGTATGTTGAGCGGTGTAAAACCATGTTGATAAATGAGTGTAAAACTAAAACAGAGACAAATGATAGAATCACAACAAAAGTGATTTAAATTACTAATATATTTATCTTGGCAATTAATGGTTCTATTTATTCAAACGTTTCTGCACTCGTTCAAAATTCATTATAATATTAATTTCTTGTGAAATCCTTAGCATTGAATTACTAGTACATGTGTAGACACTTTAATCTGATAATACATTTAATCCGGTTATGGTTACTGAGTCGTTTGACAAGTGTTTTATGTGTATTGTCATGCGATATCATAGAGTAATACCTTACCCGTTACGTTACTTTATTGTTTTCGTTTTCTTTAAACTGTTGACAGAAAAGACATTAACTTGCTATCTCAAATGATTTATAGACATTACTAGCATTGTTCTTAAAACAGGAATATCAAAGACGACATTTGTTATTGCAGTGTTAGTATTTTTCAATATGATACTACAGTTTTAAATCACTGTATGCTTCTATCACAATTTAATGAAAGTTTTTCATTTAATTAGAAAATTGACATAATAATAAACAATCGAATATAAATGCTCGCCTCTTTTTTGGCCGGCCGCCGAGCCTTCGCTTCCCATCTTTCTGCCCGCCGAGAAGGTGCAACCCATGCACAAATATTAGTTGTTCTCTTTCATAATTGCCATCCTTAGTCACCTTAAAATTTGCTTCATATATGTTACGTACTAACTTTAAATAGTGTTTTTTATAATAAATTAATTTAGATCTATTATTGCCATATGGTATTTTCAGCACTGAGATGTACTTTAAACAAGTATAACAATAATATGGCATACATGTTTTATATGCCACTTTACCGATATTAATATTTATAATACTAGTTTACTTTTCATTTTAGTACCAACGAACGTCATTGTAAAATACCATTTATAACAATGTGTTTTTTATTAAAAAAACAACAACCATATCAAATTCAAGCCGACAAAACATGCACACCTATAAATATTATACAATGGTCAGATGTGTGATCTAAGCAGTTTAACAATTTTGTCAATTATAAATTTTGTTAATTATATTAAATTATATTGATATACTTAAATGCTTAAATTGCATTTTACCTAAACTGTAAGATGATTTTTTTCATTTAAATCCTTGTAATGAACAAACTGGATTGCGTTACAATGTTGTTTTGTTAGTGCATGTATGTAGCCAAAACAAAGTCTTGAAATTGTATACCATTTCGAAGCAATTAAAACATAAAAAAAAATACATGGCAGTTTTAGGTTTAAATGAAAATGTTCATGAGGGATAAAGAAAGCCCCTACCACCTTATGACCCAAGGGCTAAAGCTCTATTTAATCCTCAACACACACAAATGATCTCGAATGATGTTGTATTCTTTTTTTATAAATAAAAAGAATACTTTCACTCTCTGAATTCAACTTAGTAGCCTATATCAATGAACAATTAGTAGGACTATAACAATATGTTGTACGTACACGTTTGCAGCATCTATCATAACAAACAATTGTGAAGAAAACTATTAAATACCGTTGTCATGGGAACAAAATAATGAATACCATAAGCAGATAGAAAACTTCGTTTTTACTTAATCATAATTGTTATTGTAAGAGGTCTACGTAATTTCGGTTTCTAGATGCATGCTTAATAATACGCGTAACATATTAACACCTGCATTTATTACATGCGCCGGAAATGTTTGTATTCGTAAGACAGCGAACGCTTCTATGTTTCAACTTTAACTATTTTTATTTAAACAAGCAAATTATTTTATTGAGATTAATTAATGGTATATTGAATGTCTTTCCACTTTTTACAATTCTCTAAAAAAAATCAGGACCATCACATGTTGAGGTAATGGGATTTTATAAGTGACTTAAGAGCTCAGGTGCTCCATTGTGCATCATTTCAGGCATGAGCGGGTAACTGAGTTGAACCACCGACCTTTCAGTAAGCACTTTGAGGAAACCAAAATGCATTACGGAATTGGAACCAACTGTGGTTGGGACAAATGGTCTGAAATCAAGGATATTAACCCATAATCCGGTTATCATCAACACTTAGTATATTT